TTTGGCTGGGGTCAATGCTCCTACCTTTATTTAGTGCCATTTGCTGCCCTCATTACAGTCTGCCATCCAATGAAGCAAAAATACAGCATGGAGCATGGAGAAAGAATGAGACAGAAGAATGAAAAGAACAAAGGCAGTATGAGAGCAGCCTTTCAAGATCTAAAGGGGGGCTGTAAGAAAGTAGGGGACAGACTCTTTAACAGTGTATGCTGTAATACGACAAAGGGAAATGGTTTCAAATTAAAAGGGGGGAGGTTTAGATCAGATATAAGGAAGAAGTTTTTTACAATGAAGGTGGGGAGGCGGTGGAACAGGTTGCCCAGAGAGGTGGTGGATGCCCTGCTCCTGGAGATATTCAAGGTCAGGCTGAACGAGGCTCTCAGCACCTGTGGAGCTGTAGGTGTTCTGGTTCGTGATGTAGATGACCTTTAAAATTCCCTTCCATCTGAAACGATTCTATAATTCTATGATTCTGTGAATATGATCACTGTTTCAGAGAGCTAGGATCAGGGTGGCTTAGCAACACACCTGCACCATACAGCTAGAACAAGCACACCAATCATTCTTTCTGCATCTGGATTGATATTTGCTCAAAGTACTGCCACAGCTTCATGTCCCTGTGTCATCTCTCTTGGATTAAAGCTTTGAAGAATCATATTTTTAGCTCTTCGGGAACAAAGGAGTAGAAGAAAAAAAAAAAAAAAAATCCTTATCTTAGTGAAGTTCTTGCAAAAAAACATTTTTTTGTGAATTTATTGGGTCTATAAATACCTTCTCTTCTTCAAACATTAACTTGAGCCCATCCATTGGCATGCCGTAACCCCACCTCCAAACCTGACTGTGGCCAGCTCTGCCTGCAGTGAGCAGCCCTGTTTGCATTTGATGTTTTCTGAGATCAGCAAGTAGCTTTACAGATTATTTTGTGTGTGTGTGTGTGTGTAAATAGGAAGCTGAGAAGCAGTTTATATAATTGAAAAACAGTTAAAATAATCTATGGATTATTGTGACACTGTTTTGACAGTCACCGTTCAATAGACTCTGACAGTTTAAAATCCTTCATTTAGTGATCTCCTCATGCAATTAGCCATTAGTGACAGAACACTCAAACAGATTCTTAATGTGCTGCAACAGCAGCTCACTCACTAGGAGAAACTATTTTGGATATTTCTCCTTCACTGCACTAGGAAAAAACAAATCACTTTTCTTTCAGCAGAAGACATATGTCAGTGTCCCAGCGATGAGTTTTTCACACTGAGGAAGGCACAGCAGGAGTAAAACCTTGTTTTCTTCACTTCTTCCTCCATGGCTGAGCTAGTCAGGTGTTCTCTCCAAATAAAATCTAGTCTAAATCCTTTGATTTTGATAACTGCCAGTTGTCCGGCACAGCACACTGATTGTCCTTTTGTTCATTTGCTGCTTGTTTGGTTGGTTTTCTTTTGCTTGTTTGATTTTTTTTCTTTTTTTTCAAGGTGTTAAAAAAATAATTGAAGAAAACAATCTAGTCCTTAGGGGTAGGTAGCAACGCTTTGATAAAGTCTAACTACAAATTTTTTTTTAATTAGAAATTTCTAACTTCATGTTATCCTTTAAATTCAGATTCTATAATTACTCTATAGCTTATTACAGTCTTTTGGATGCCAGTGTAAGGAAGGATTTGAGATCTTCATGATTAAGCTTTTTCATCCTGCTGCAATGACCAAAGGGCAAATAGGAAGAATCTAAAAAAAAAAAATAAAAAAATAAAAAATAAAAGGAGCCCCTTTAACTTTCACAGGCATGTACTGCAGCATCTTGGCACTGTTTAGGAGAGAAAGTCAAGCTCAGTAGCATAACTTTAAACTTATTATTCTGTTGTTAAATATGTTGCTGTCTCTAGTCTCCTCTCTTTTTGGAGAGACCTCAAGAGTGGTCTTAAGAATACGTTGAAAACAAACGAAGAAACAAACAAAAACAACCCACAGAAGCTTATTAAAGAAAATCTTTTGGTCTGACTATCCAAATATGAAATTAAAAGAAAAGTATCTTGCCCTTGTAAGAGGAATGTGAATGTCATTGTACCCTTTCTAAAGGCAACTATAGACCCGGTGTTGTTCAGAGGGCTGTCTCGGGAGTTCCTAAAGATGGTGGTTTTTGTCCACAATTTTCAAGTAACTCCTTAGGAATTCTGGTGAATTTTGTATTTGCTTTATGTTAATGTTCTCTACTGCTTGAAAAATTCAAGTCAATTCCAGTTTTCAAATGTTTGTTCAGTATCCTGATTGCATTCATGAACTTTGAGTTAAAGAGGATGTTGAGCCAGTTTTCCTAGGACTCGAAAGAATTATTGTCATATCTGTCTTTCTGACCTTCTGAATGATTAACCAGACCCCAAAGTTCAGAGTATCATCTCAGATGGCTCTTTTAGACAACCTTAAGCAATCTGCGAAGGCAGAGGTAGAAAAGGACCTGTGTATTGCAGGCTTTTAATGTTCTTTGCCACCTCCAATAGGTTTTCTCAAAGGTGGCAGTATTTCAGATACAGAGATGATCATAAAATTGATCAGGGCTGTAATTACATCTGTGGCCACTGAAATATCCTTGAAAGATCAGTTCAATATCTTTTAATTCATTACTTCAAGTTGAAAGTGGAACCAGTGGAGTGCTTCACATGTCATGAAGTCAGACACTAGAAAGCTCATATACATCATGTCAGCAAATGTCTATGTGCAGATGTAAATGACCTTCATGAGATTACTTTGCTGATATGAAATTAAAAGACATTGTGATAATTGTCTTGTCTGACTAACACAAATCAGTTTGGAAAATTTGATTATAGGCATATTAACAAGGCAGTAAACTGTACTATTTCTTCTGTAGAAATCAATCTCTGCGCATTGCAGAGATTGATGACTATTGTTAAGAGCACACACAACATGCAGGTTGGTAAGAACAGGGGTAAAAAAAATAAGTCTGATCATTCCTACAAATGTTTAATATTTTCCTTTCCTTGTTTTCCATGGAATCCAGAATCACTTGGTAATCTAGATGTTGAAAGTTAAGTTAAAACTAAGACAGTAGAGAGAAATTATCCATACCAAGTTAGCTAGTTAGAATATATACTTTTATTAGTTTGGAAATAAGTGGTGCTATGCTTTAAAAAGTCTGAAGCAATATACAAATAATTATGTATTAAAAGGATACCTGCTTCACCTGCTGCTTCCAGAGGGCATAGGGCCGCAGCAGACGTCATTGACTATAACTCCAGTAACACCAGAATTCTCATTTTACATTATCTAAGGGGTTATTTAAATGACAACTGCACCTGCACAGTCCTGGCTATTGCCAGACTTTAATTTGAATAAAAGGTAAGTGCAGTGTCCTGGACCATGACTGTTATACTTTGAGTCATGAGGCATGAATTTATTATACTTTGATTTATGTGTACTTAAGAATTTCAGATGAGCAAAAATTAAACATCTCAAAGATAAAACTTTAAATCCCAGAGGTAGCACTTTACGGGATCTTTGCCAGCAGTTCATCCCACAAATGTAGTGTGCTGACACCTGCAAGATCATATGCCTTCAACCACAGACACATTAATATAATGATGTTTTAGACTCACATGCAAAATCAGGGTTACACACTACACCCACAGAGTTCATATTGGACAGGAAGAAGCACAGCTCAAGGAGTTCACTACTGAGGAAGCCCATTGCTGCTTTAAATAAATAATCTAGCCTTTATACAGGTTATCCTCACACTCCTTTGCATTTGAAAATATTCCTCTGGAATACCTGGCTATTAGAAATGTTAGATTTTCTCTTATTTTTCTCCTCTTCCAAAATCATACTGTGTTATACTTTTTTTTAACCCTGTGTAACTGAAATCACTATTGAGTTAGTGGCTAAGGACTGAACACTACTCCTCTTGCACTGGTATCACTGGTAGAAGGGAATTTATATTTGATATAAACAACTATGTCTGTGTGCTGTTGCTCTCATTTGACAAGATAAACCAATTATAATAACAATATACAGTATACAACTATATATATATATATATATATATATAAAAACAATAACACAATTAAGCAGATGTGTTAAAACCAAGCAGTTCTGCAGTTCTAGAAAGGCTTTGGTAGGGGGATTTATTCAGCATGATGGAGGTAAGGTGGTCAAAGCTTTGTTTCACGCTGCTACCATCACTTCATTTTATGCATTAATCTATACATATTTGCATGAAACAATCTTTTGCCTTGCTAGATAATTCCATTAAAAGCCTCTTTGTGTTTTTTGTGTTACAAGTAATTATTTCAGCAGAAGACTGTAAAAAATTTTTCCACTTACTCAAAATGTCTTTGTTAATATTGGGATGGTGGAAAGAAAAAAGATTTCTGTTTGCTTTCTAAACTATTCAGCTACCTCATTCTTGTTGTAATTTCTCTCCTTTCTTTGACACAAAACATTTGAAAAAGATTCTTTCCAAGGAGAGAAGAGGACTGAGGAGTAGACTGTGTTTTGGAATTGCCTATTAATTTAGTGAAGAGAACATAACTAAGCCACAAAGAAATCTTTGTTTTTTTTTAGTATTCACAATTCTGTGGGGCTAAGGTACATGTGATTTTAAAAAAAGATCTTTTTTTTCTTTTAAGGTCAGAAGGAAAGTTACCTGTTGAAAAAGAGTAAGTTTTATTATGTGAAGCCAACAGAACATCACAAATCTACCTATCTGTGTAGAATTTAAGAAATATTAATACCAGCTTTAATTAACCCAAAATAAAATTGTTTTCAGTGGAAGCCAAGTTAGGCAAAAAAACAAAACAAAAAAAAAAGTGATTACAAACTTCACCTGTTAGAAATTAGGGACTTGCTCAAAGCTGACAGAAGTCACTAGAGAAGCTTCCTGATCCAGCTTTTAAGTGCTGAGATCCTTTTTTTATAAGAGCCATGATTTGGTCAGAGGGTATGGCCGAACTCTGTCTTCAGTGAAGAGTGTCTAATGCAATTTTTGTGTCCCAACAGTGTCTTTCTTTCAATGCTATAATGGAGGAGCTTGGCATTTCACTCAAGCATCAGAAGAAGTTAAAGAAAAGGTCAAGAACTAAGGCAAAGTCTTCATTCACAAGTATCCTTACTTGCCACCAGAGAAGGACACTGAGGAAAGAAACCATAGCGTGAGCAGGAGAGGCTCCTGGGAAGAAATATCAGGAAGAAAAACAGAACAAAAACTTTGCTGCCTACAAGTTGATTGTGGTGGGATTTCTGAAATACAGACATTTACCTTGTTCTTCAGAAATTCTCTGTGGTTTCTTTTTTTAATCTAGAGGTACAACAGTTTAAATGCTCACATAGACTGATGTACTGCTACTAATCATCTGGGAAGTGTCTCATTATTATCTTTTGAGATGGATTTGTATGCTCACCTGGTTTGCATCTCTCTTCCCCTCCCCATGCATTGCTGTATGTGCTTTCTAAATAAATAAATAAACAAGAGACAGGGATCTTTTTTCCAATATTCTGGAAGTGATATCTATTTTGTTTTTCTTTTGAAGAAAAGATTACAGTCCTGCTAAGTACAGTTGTTTAGAAACTGGTGTCCAGATAACCAAAATAAGAATCTGTACAATTAACAAACGACGACTACAAAAATGTATAAAATACTGAGGCATCAAAGAACGAGTTATTCTTACTTTTCTCTGAAAGTTCTTATCTGTGATTACCTTGGCTTTCCTTATCTTCTCTCTTATTTATTTTACAATGAGATAATATGGTAATGCTGTGGCTCCAGGTGCTAGATGTTCAAAAGGAAAATCTGAAAATTACAAATGCAATGATCAGTGAACAAGCAAAGACAACACTGACATCATCACAGTGCCACATTCTCCAGCTTCTAATACCAATAAAATTATTCTCAAAATGAACCTCAAAATGAAAATCACCTAGAAAATAGAGGAAAGAATATTCAATTTATAACAAGCCTTGACCAGAAAAATAACATCTGACAGAGATGTAGCCAATGCTCTAGATGGGGAGCAGTACCTTGCTGTCCTACACCTTCAGTTGGACATGGGTTCAGGCAGTCTCAGCACTATGACCACTCTGAGCTTAATGCAAGACTGAAAAAAGGGAACCAGAGAACTAAGCTACCAACTGCTTTTCTGGACAGTGCATAGAGATGGGTCAGACTAAATCGTGTCAACAATATTTGCTTTACACTTTGCTGATGTTCATTACATAGCATTCAGCAAAGTGTCAGGTTTTACTGTCCTTCTTATATTCGCCCAGGGAATTTATTGCTTACCACTGATTACTTTTGCCTTATATCCATGTCCATTTTCTCTGCAAAAGCAGACAGTAATTGTGGAAATTGTTGTGTGAAGAAATCTCTCCTCCATCTTTTCCTCACAGCACCACTCTGTGCAGCCCCTGCTGACTGGCTGGGTCAATCTGAAAAAGAATGACATTACTTACAAAAGCCTTGCTTGAGAAGTGATATGTTTCTATACTATTATAGGCAAGAAGATATCTCAGTTCACTTAGCCTTTCCATGAGAATTGCGTTTCCTAAAATGCATGACATTATCATTGATTAGCCCTATGCTTTCTATCATTACTCCATATCCTTCTCAAAACAGGGTGCCCCAAACTAGATATGCTCTTCCATTTGAAGTTTCACCCATGTGGAGGTGGGCAAAAGAGATACTTATAGTGTCTGAAAAGCAGTACCATTGCTTGTACGTTTGTGATGAGGTCTGCCTTGATGTGACTGGGTAAAGCAAGTGAGCCCTCGGTGTACAGGCAATGATAATTTCAGAGTACAGAATGACTTTTTTTTTTTTTTTTAAATAGCCTGATTCTCAAGTATCTCAGTTTGTTCAGATCAGTTTGTCCTCAGCCATGCTTTTTGCCTTAACCAACTTGCTAGTACTTGCAAATTTAGCAAACACACCCACTGAAGACAGACTATAAAGGAGACCCAGCTGCCCTATAAATCCCTCCATTTTGGCAATGGAGCTTTGGGAGTTAAAAGGACAGTTCCACATTTTCAGCCACCACACTGAATATGTCATTTGTCCCATCATCCTACTTGTTCATGAAAATATCACATAGGATGGGATCAAAAACGTATTAAAACTGAGGTGGAGGAGCTTTCCCGTAACCCTCAGGGCTCACTAAGCTGTTAAAGAAGAAAATTCATCAGATTAACAAGACCTGGATTTGACAGATTCATATTAACTCTTGCTCATTTCCAACGATTACTTACGAAGCAGTTAGTTTATACCAGTGTGTCCAGGCACCCACAGTTAAGCTATCTGGCTCAGAACTTCCTTGATTCTTGTTTTTCTTCCATTGAAGAATAAATTATGATTGCTATTTACCAGTGTTTCCTACTTATCCTCTATGAGTTTGTCTCAGAGAGCTCAGAGCAGCCAGCCTCTAGGAAAGCAAAAACAGTCTTTTACAGTGACTACAGTAGAAAGCTCCAATCAGAACTTGCTTTTGGGAAGCTTAGCATGTTGCCTACTCCAGTAACATGCTGAGTTGATGAGTAGTAATTAAGAAAAACCAGCCCCTGGCCCTCAGTGCTCACATAGGATCTCATAATATTGTACCTCCGTCTTTCTGAAAGTAATTTCTTTTATTTATGACATCATCAAGTTACAAACAGGCCTTTCAGACCACCATCATGATTGAAAAGCAAGTTGTTATTTTCCAGTCTGAGTAACTCTATCACTCTGCCAACCACAGCCTTCAGCTAAGATATTTTTAAATGAATAGGTTCAAAGTGATAAAAGATTTATAATCAGGTCCTTTTTTTTTTCTTTTTTTTTTTTTTTCCAAACGATGACTCTTGTGGCTTAGACCTTGAGGCTGAGTTCCATTTTCTTAGATATCTATTAATGTTTTCCTGATACTAGGAGGTAGTGTTTTGTTTACTGCTTTTTACATTTCAGCTTTCCCATTAGTGGTCCACCACTTAAAATAAAAAAGACTCAGGGAAAAAAGAAACTGTTTTTGCTGTCTGCTTAGAAATATGTGGAGGAACAATAAAATAGAGTATACTTGGATCTTCTTTTTTTTCTTTTTAGTAGCTTGAAAGACTCAATTAGAAAGTCTCTGTGTTAGTCTCAGATGACACCTTACCAAACTACTTACTTACTGCAAAGAAGCTAACCAGCCTGCCATGATTTCATGAAGCAACACATCACTATGTGTGGCTGTGCCCTTCTCTGCCATCTGCAGGAATGAAGATTCATGATAGGTCATAAAATCCACTTCAACATAAATTTTCCCCAAAATGGGGTGGGCAATAGGTGGGAGCTACTCAGTGAAAAGTAGTTCCCTAAAAGCTCTGAGCAGCTGCAGACCATTAACACAACCCACTGCTCTGTTCTGTCTCTTGGTATTGTCATGGCAGCACTGTCATGGCCTGTAACGCCTTTGCCAATTGGCCTCCTTTTGAGAAACTACAGAAAGAATTAACAGTAGACAGTGAAGGACTTGAAGGGACATGCAAACTCACTGTTTGCTCCTGCCTTAGGCCAGCAGTGGCCTGGTGCCTGCTTCTGACATATCCCTGTGCCCACACCTTGTGTTGGCCATCAGCACTGCTCAGAGCACCCATGGATATGTGGGATGCCTGCACTGGGACTTGAAATCAACCTACCTCTCACCTCGGTTCAACAGAGTATTTGATATTCCAGCTAGTTAAAATTTCATCTAAGGAAGATGCTTTGGGATCCATCTAAATCTCACTAGTATTTCAGGATTCAGCCAAGAGCTTTTTCTGATTTGGAGCTGGGACCTTCCCCAACCTCTTCAAAACACACTCAGGTCACTGGTTAGACTGCTCATACACCACTCACAGACAGGTCCCAGTTCCACACACCCATATGCATGCAGTCCATTCACAGTTACACATCTCATCTTATTTTCTCTGTGTACATTTGTGTAAAACAAACAAAAATCTTTTTAAAAGCACCTTCATTTCTGTGTCACTGGAAACAATTTCCTTCAGTTTAGATGCTAATTGTAAATTCATGTCATGACTGAGAAAGCTGTTTCATCTTGAGGGAAGAGGAACAAGCACAGGGCAATCTTACACATCGACACGGTAGCAAACATGATTACTGCGACCTTTTCACTGTATCCCAATAAATATTTTTTCCTGCCTTTTTTCCTGCATGGCAGCATGCAGTACAAGATAAGCCTGATTAGAGATTAGCCATTAGGAAAAGCAAATGTGCTCATCAGATTTCTCTCTTGGCAGCAGCAAGCATGCATCCTCATTGTTTATAAAAGAAAAATACAATATTGACTGATGCTGTTGAATGGCTTTAATGTGTTTCATTCCAGAAATGGCCATGTTTTGATGTTACCACTACCAACCAACAGACTGCAGTCTTACTAAGGACTATTAAACATCCATTAAATTCGTTGAGAAAGTGGTAAGGCAGGCTCAGTGGAAAAGAGAGAATATTGGAAATATGTAAGCAACTATTTAAGCTGTGTGCACAGGGCCCAGGCCAACTCTATGATTGATAAGCTACTGCAAAACAAATGAGGATCAGCTTATTCCCTTCTGAGCCCCTTGTCAGAGGATTGCATCTTGCGGGTCTGCTGTGAACCAGTAATCCTATGGGGCATTTATTGACTGCTGAGCTTGTCCCTTAATTGCTCTCTGTCAGGCTTGTAGGAGTCACAATTTCTCAAGGATCAGAGCTGCCACTATTTAAAGATATGTCACTTACACCCGTCAAAGAACCGTGATTTTATTTCAGCCCCATCTATTGATAAAGATGAGGATTTTTTGTCTGTTGAATTCTGGTTCTTGTTTGCCTCTCTTAACCTCCTCCAGTTCAAGCTCTGTTATCATTAATGCAATCGTTATACAGCCATCACCGATAAAACATGAAGCTCACCCCTGCATTTCTAGACTTTGACGGCCCAAGAGATGAAACCCACACATTGGTCACACATTCATGATGTGCCCAGAAACCAGCAGCAGCTGATAAGCCAGTGGCATGAGTGGCATGAGGCAACCTTACAAGATATGGTAGCCTCCAGATTGGACAAGATGACATGTGGGGAAAAGCTGGGTTTCCAGACTGACTGAATAATGAAAACAGTAGATACAAAGACCTCAGATACCCCCTGGGCACTGTATGAGCTCTCTCAAGTCCCCATGAATATTGACAAGTAAGGATGCTGACCCACAGTCTGCAGATTGTATCAGCCCTACAAACACTGAGAGGATGGGGCAGGCACCTCATTCCCCCATTCATCCCAAAGGAGCCTTTCAGACACAGCTAGCCATCTTAAAAACTGTCTAGCCCTTTTATTGCTGTCACCCTGTGGCAAGCCATCTGTGCTCAGTAAGGACTGCATGCCTTTATTCCTCCCCTCCCTTCGTGGTGTAGGAGGAATGCTCAGTAAGAAAAAGAGTATCACAAGCCATTGAGAGCATGTGGGCAATCCTGCTCTGACAGGACAAAAAAACTCAGCATGCTGATCATGCTGCTGGGTCCCTTGCAACTGCACCTTTTGTGCTGAAGAGACCAAGAAATACATTGGAAAGAGACTACTAGAGAAGGAAAGTATCTTGAACTAGCCAGTAGAGCCATAAATTTCACATAACAGCTGAGAGTACTGACACTAGCCCAGCAGGAGCAC